ATCCGGCATATGCTACTTTCCGTGCACATCCAGGCGCCTTGTGCAGACGCTCTCTAGTTCCTATACTTCAAGACGTCCCATTGGAAGAACATTTCTATTTTCCAATGTATCAGATCGGTTGATAGCCATTTGCCTTTGCTAACAGTGTACGGCTTTTAGCTTCGTAGACCTCTATTTGTTTTTCGCCTCTTAATTTAGTCAGCGTGGAGATTTCAGACTTATGGTACGCTTCTTTATCCTTTTGCTGCAATGGAATCCCTTGAGTTCTTTAAATCGTAGAGACAAGAATTTCAATCCCATTGATACAATCGATTCCTTTATCGGTTTTATCTTCCCGAAAACTTCTCATCGCTAGTTTGGTCAGGACCGTTTGTAGTTTTCTAGTCTGCTGGGTTTCCTTTATTTGCAATTTTTTTAATTTCAAAGCAGTTACCCGTTCTCATATTTTTTTCTAAACAGTTGTCATTTAAATGCACTGACTTGTAAAACGGGCTGGTATTACTGGTAGTGCTTAAAGCTTTACTGGGCTATGAGGTCAGACTTCTTTTAAGGCATACTGTATGTTTGTCAACTAGATCCTACATTCTACCGTTAAGAGTCCCACTTTTAACTCGAAATCTTACTACATATCTCTAATGCGACCTCTGCGTACCGGGGGGCAACTTTCCATTTTCTTAACAAAAGTGGTTACGGACCTTGAAAAAGTCATATTACCCGTACTATATGTTTAAAGACGACGCACTTAGATGAGAAGTAACTTTTGTGAGACTAACCTGCTTATCATTGGACTACAAATGGCGAATGGAATATTACTTTTGGGTGTAACGATGAAGGGGGAGTAATTGTTGATCCGTTTACATTTTCACATTTTGGGATGGACGCATGTAAGCAGCCTTTAAGTACTCTGAACTTTCAGATATTATTGCTCTCGCACACACGACTATTTGCCTATCATCTACACCAAAATGTCTTTTGCCGGATAGCTGTACATTGTAGAATCGCGGCAACCAAATAGAACAGAAGTTCCGAACACAAAAATGCATCGCCGGTCTGTAACCTTTTTCAAAAGAGGAGTTAGAGCGAATGATCGTAAGTAAGGTCATCAGTTCGAGAAAAAGTTGACGAATTTGCAGACTGACTTGGCGCACTCATTGAGTAGACTGTCGCAAACAGGCTATAATTTTATGCATGTAGTTCTCGGACTAAGTAACGCTAGTTAGGTAATGATGACAAATTGGACTAAAAATGGCGAAAAGCGATTATCACATGTATTAGGCCGTCAGCGCTTTTTATTGTTATACTCTGCCATTTATTCGTCAGGCTAGTAATCGGAGTTCTACACTGAATGGTTTATTCGCAATGTAGATGCGTAGTTGATGATCCTCACACGGATAAATCCCAGCTCATAAGCATATGATCAGTTTATCACTTTTTGTAACTTAATTCTTTGATTTACACAGTCTCATGTGACCATCCTCTTCCAAAAATCTTTGCCAAGATACTGCGGCTTTGCAACGACAGGGTGTCCGGTGAGGACGCCATAATTGCTGAGGCCTACGAGTCTCGGGTCAGCTCTCATACGCCCCATCTTTGGGAAGCAATTCAGAATGAATAGAGAAATGATTTCATTCTCGATGACTACAGCCAATCACCCTGCTACCTGTATTCTAGGAAGCAGATAGGATAAAGTGCGAAGCCTGCTTCGACTTATGTCTCAAGCGTCGCCGCAAAGTTTTTTGTCAGTGCTAGTCTACGACGTCTTTAGGCTGTAGGATTCCAAGACGAGATCCGATCACCCCGGATTCTGAACTGAGCTTATACTCTAACAAGGTATTTACCTTTCTACATATTCGTGAGCCCTGCTGTGACTGCCAGCACATGATACTTGTCTTCATCGTTCTGCTTGCTGCGGCATTCGGTTACGTTCGTTGTGAATAACTGTGATCACCACTAGGATTAGACGGTCTGCCGACAGAAGTGAACCTCTTAGCCAAGAGCCAACATCGTCTTATCATCGTCGAATTACTGTTTAATACATCCTCCTCTAACTGTTTGATATTTGGTCTGCTTTTCGACAGGGTTGCATACTGTTATTAATCGCCGTTAAGTACACCACCAACTGCTCTCTCGGAGGTTTTTTTGCGGTTTTGATGATGTTGGATTTGCGCCACGTTACCAGTTGGCCTTCATAGATGGCGTCGAATTTATTGCTTCGCTATCTTCGAGCTATAAGAATGTGCGGAATAGAGCGTTGTAAGTGCCAGTACTGCTGATGACAAAGTGCATCAGCATCTACAAGGGCAAAATCCCCGCGATAAATAGCCGTCGGCTTGAGAGATGGTGAACTTTCAATATTCCAGGACCAAATTGTTGCCCAAAGAACAGGTTATGAATGACATCATCACTTAGATTGAGTATTTGGTGGATTTTAGGTAGAATCACCATTAAGATGCACGCTTTCGGGGCCATCTATCTGGTCAGTACTCCTCATGATTTCAAATGTTCTGATGTGCGCGTAAAAACGAACAAACACATCAAAAATATTGCATTGATTTTCGAAGGGGTCCAAAGTGGTGGTTTAGGTGGCATTGGCACCTTTGAGATTGCCTGTTCTAGATGCAACGCCGTTGATTAAATGAAAGCAAAGGAATCGGCTGATAGACTGTCTCACTGCTGATCGTCAAAACATGGCGGTGGCTTTTAGAGATTTGATCTAAGTCGCTAAAGACCAGACAGACAATCTCTCCAGGCCCGTAGCAGTTGAGTTTCGCGAATGTAGAAGTCCTTCCCACGAAATTGCTGATGTCGACCAAATCAGACCTGTAGTGGACAGCCATAATGGCTACGTCGTCCCTCTCGCTAGCGTCTGCGCCTACATGCTAGCGACAGCCTGCTATGGCACGCACGTCTGCCCGACTTCGATTTGTCTCGTTGCAATTCACTGTCTGCACCACGCATTCTGTCGATTCCCTGCCTGCACCACGCGAGGCTTGTCATTACCTTCGCGTGGGCTCGGAGCCAATCAACGCAACTCCTATCACTGATTGGTAAGACAGGCGGGAACAGTCCAGAACAATATAGTAAACAATCTGCAACGACACTTGCAGTGGCGACCTTCGGCGACACAGGGCTCGTCGCCCTCGCGGACGCCGCCTCCGTGGCGCCGGACGCATCCTCGTCCGATTGCCAAATCTCCCCCTCACTATTCTGTACAGAATAAAGTGTCCTAACCGAATGGTGTCCTGCTTCTAACAACTTGGGATATGGCCTGAAGTTGTGGCGTACTGAGCGTACACCATCACCGCTTAACCGCTGCAGACCGGACCGCAGTCCTACGGGGGACAGGTTGTACATGGACGGGAATTTAGTGGCTCGAAAAGCAAGGAAGATCCCTTGTGCCAGGGTCGAATCAGTCGTAGCCAAGTTGGTATTGTTTATTAAATGCGCCCAACCGTTCAGAGTAAGTGTTTTCCCCTACTCTGAATCCTAGGCTTATTACTCAATAGCTAGTAAACAGCCATGTAACTTCCTTTTGTGTGAGCATTTGGACCTTTCAGCTGACGTTAAATGCGTTGCATAGTGAGTAGAATCCAACAGGGAAGATATTTTGAGAAGAATCAGATGTCTGGGTCCTGATATTTCGTTTTTTCAAGATAGTGGAAGAATGGCTGACGCATTCCCGCCGAATACTTATTTGTAATGTTCACTACATCGAGATTTGAGGTAAGGACGAAATAAGAGGCAGAAAATAGATTGTCTGCACTGAAATCGCAAGTTTTTCGGTGAGCATAGCGAGACTGCTAACCCTGTCTTCCGTGCCCGTCTCCCTGCAGTCGCTTACGGGTCCGGGTCAGATGTACGCTAGTGCAAACTCATTCCTTGTTGCCTTGTACTTAGACAACTCCACAGGCTTTCTGTCCCTTATCTAAAACCCTCGGTGGACATCCCTAAATTCCATAATATTCAAGTGTCCTTGCTCAGACACAATAACTTCCTGAATACACTTCATAAAAAGTGATATAAGGGTTCTCTTTTGCGAAAACTTTTACCTTTTCAGGGATGTCGGAGTTTTGATATTTTTTCCTTTTAATATGGGCGTCTGTGTTTTGTGATGTTATTTAAGAGGCCTGGGGATCAGGTAGAAAAGTTACTGACTGTATGATAGCTTCTAGCTGACAGGGATTCCAATACATTGACCCTAGTTCCTTATCGACTAATCCCAGTAACAAGCCCAGTCAGCGAAATAATTGGTCTCGCGAAGGATATTCAAAGAACATGTCTCAGTGGTTTTGGTATTTTTTCTTCGACCATGACATCATCTTGACCTGGAACCTGTTCTCACCGCTGCTCACGGATTAAATAAAAATTTCTCTTTATTTAGCAATGGAATCTCCACCAGTTACAGCCTCCTGCTGACCAACCCAGGGTCTGGCCTAAATGTACTCCTTCTCAGCTCTTGCAAGCCTTGTCTGTGTTTTACAAAAAAACTTTTGATAACAGCTACCTACTCTCTGTGTGCCAAAAGTTGCTATCAAAAAATATTCCCTATGTAAAACTAGTTAACACAAGCCCTATTTAAGCTCTTTGGTTGCGTCAGTAATCAGACTCTTACCCATGCTCGAATTTATCTTCACATCAGGTAATTCATATCAGTAAGTATTGTTAGTGATGTGCACTACGAATAGCTCCTTGATACATTACGAAGAACCATATGCTTTTTGAAACCTTATTTCACTCAAGAAACTTTGTCACACATTTATTCAAGGCTTGTTATTTTCATTTGTTTTGTAGGTTACCTCCCTGTAATAAATGGAAGCGTTCCTTATTTGGATTGTTTCTTAAAAAGCATTACATTCTGTACTGAGAGACTATTAAGGGTCTATCTGAATTCATTTCCAACAGAAGCCATAATATTAAACGTAAGTTTCATTTCCTTTTATGTTTTTAGTTCAGTTAATATTTTAAGATCGAAAACGCCCACTTTTATATTTGCCTTTGTTATGGCTGAAGTTCATATCATTGGCCAGATCATCAGTGCCTCAAACTTTCCCGAAAAGAGCCTCTTCTGTAAATGGGGGATTAGTGCAGGTAAGGAAAAGTCACATTGCTTTAGGATTGTCTCATATGATAATAACAAGATGTAGTCATGTGAAATAACTCGGTTCTTTGCGAAATTCACTTGTATTTCAGCACAACTAGCTTGAGCTGTCTACAGCGCTTAATATAAGTAGAGCACTTGAAGACATGGAATACTACGAACTGTTTCCGTATTTCCCTCGTTGCATAAGCTTACTGAATACCACAATGTTCACGTCAAAGTACATTTTTTTCTAGTCTGGTTGCATAATATGACATTTTATTTAGCTAAAACTGTGCAGGGCTCCATTGGTTTAGCCTTTTTCAGCCCAAAAATTGCCGACAGAATATCCTCTCCCACAGATCTATTAAGTAGAAGATAGTCCAGCAGTTGTGGGCTACTAAGCGTTTAAAGCGTACTAGCACTTTTTTGTGCTCGGACGGTTATTTCATCTTTGTAAAAAGTTTTCCCAGCTTTATGTTTAAAGGAAATCTTAAGAAGGAAGGCGTATACTTATTTCAAAGCTATGCAAAACACAATTATGCAGTTCAAATTCGCACAAAGTCTGTAGTTTCTTAAGACCGAGCATAATTTTAAGGTATCTTTAATTTATATGGTGGGGCTGCATTTTACTTTTGCCTCCATCTAATAGTGAAGCATCTTAATCGTTTTCAACGTTGATCATTTTCTTCTGGAAATAGTTTAGGATAGTCGTCCAGGAAACATACTACATGCACATGAACGCGGTCTGAAAGCCCCATCCCATGGAGCATTTAGACTTTGAAAATGAGCAAGTGAACTGTGTATCTAAGACGTCAAGTCCGACAAACGTACGCTTTCGATTATTCATCATGAGTCCTATACAGTAACATAAGGGAGGGTGGAATAGCAAAAGTAAACATCCAATAAAAGACAATATGGGGGAAGGGGGTTGAAGGGTGTACTTTTGCCGCACTTAACTTCTTAGATGTCTACAGGGGTATCATCGCTGATCTGTATATCTTCTAAGAGCGGAAAAACATCTATCGACATGTTCGGGACCTTCGCAAACCCTACTGATACTTGCGGTCTCGATTCCAAACTGGAAACAAGGTTTTAACAATGAATGTGGCAGGTTTTGATCATAGTGCACCTTCCAACTGATCTGAATGTCGAGAGGTGTCCGTACGGCCTGGCAGATCCAATGAGCTCAGTTATTCGAAAGCACCATTGAAAACGCAGCAATGCAAGATCTGGAAGACCGTTCGTTTACTCGGACTACTGGGTCTTCATAGAAACGTCGCTGTTTGGGTACTGTTACTTGGGCAGCTACTTTAGCTGACGCTTTTGCCCGCCAGGAGCCTCACATCAGGCAGATCGATGACAACGAACTAACTCCTGTTTGCTGTGACTTTACCTGCCTGCCGAGCATACACTTCTAATACCTGCCTCTTCTGATGTACGAAATTTGGTGCTTCCAATGTGGTAGAAGGACGCTCACCGATCGGTTTTTTACGGAACTCACTTGTCCCTTTGTGCCTTACGGGCTCTCTCTCGAGCCGAACCAGCGGCCACACAGCGCCGTATGATATAGGCAGAATGGTATTACCGACAGTGACAAGGGCGACTCTAATGGCCATTTCTGGCTTATTAGCCGTCGTCAGCCAGTCATACCCCACCCGAGGAGTGGAACACCCGAGACTCGATCCCGCTGTGCTGCTGCTGATTGGACTCGAGAGAGAGTCCGTAAAGCACAACGGAGCGAGTGAGTTCCCTAAAAAACGATCGGCAAGACTATAGAACTGTTTTGTGAATAGAACTAACGAAGCCGAAGGCTAAATGTCGCACTTGAGGTCTTGTGGAACCCCAATGAAGTTCAGTTTAAATGAGTGGATTTTGGCGGTGTCAGTTTCTGCGCACAGCTTGACTGAATTCGATGAGCACTCTCGGCGTCTCATTCAGCGAAAAATTACGCACGTATTTGCATGTGATTGATACTCCTTGGTGCCATGAATGCTTGACCCTTTTGCCATCAAGAATCTGAGGATTAAACAGCCCTTTGACAATCTGCTCTTCCACAATCTCAGACTCGGATACGGTCCTCCAACTACGAACTTTTTTATTTTTTTAACATTCCGCTTTCGTCTCATTTTTCCGTATTTATCCCATCTATCATTGCGTTGAGTGGGAAGTAAATAGGCCTAGGAGATTCCACTTCTTCCCGAGATTTAATAACGCTCGGTGAGTTCCGCATCCCTGCGGTTGACTTCCTCCTTCCTCTGTTGAAGGTAGTGCCTGGCGACTCCTTTCTGGTCCGTCTGAGGGACAAACGCAGGTTGACAATCCCAGTTTCGGCGAGAAGGCCTATTTTTGCCATCCTTTTGACCTACACTTTGCCACTAAGGGAATTCAAGGTAAGCACATGTACCCCTCATTCTCCTCCTAGGTTGGCCTAAATTCTTCTTTCAGGTCTGGCATCACGACTGGTTGGGGCGAAACGAGCTGTTTGGGTACGGTTTCTGTCATGTGCCGTCTACTGCAGGCAGTCACGAGGTAAGGTAACAACAAACCTCTTTGATCACCTGGCCTGTGCCTTTTCTCTTTTACAGCTGGAGGTGGTGACTTGGAGACCGTGTGGTTCTTTCTCGGAACAATTCAAATCCCAACTTGTTGGTGGCGCTGCTCATCTCTGCAATCTGGACCTTGTCTTCAACCAACAGAACCGCTACATGCTGCAGACGGAGAGCATGGGAAAACTGCAGCTGGTCTGTAACGTAATTACGAGGAATTTTGAGAAGTTTGGCGTGGAGATGTAAGATGAGGGTGGAGGTGGGAGTGGAAATTATGTATTGACATGAAGACCATGCGTAATTTTTAGGCTGTTTGTTACATCAATTATAAATTCCTTGCAGAATAAACTTTTTGTATTAGCAACTGTAGCTTTCATTCACTGAAAGGACGGAAGACTCCCGAAGCAATAGGTGTGTTGCCACCCACCGTTGCAGTTGCCTTTTTAAAAGGCCTGAGATAGTACCAAATATAGTAGTACACTGTGGATCATAAGAAGGCGCTTTGCGCTTGGTTTTGCCGTTAGTGTCACCTCCGGAGAGGAGAGGTTTAAACTGGCCCGTTACAATAAGGAGGTCGAGGATGATCTTAGTTTACATAGTCCCGAGCAGCTGGAAGTAATGTTGCACGGATTAGTACAATTTTTCAACAACCTCAGAAGTTGGCATATATTTCGTGGCCAGATTTACACAGTTACTAACCCCTATTTATAGAAACTAACCTAGACTCTCCAACCAGCCTGACATTCAGCGTGATCGACTATATCTAAGTGGGATGGAGACTTCACATGACACGAAAATCTAGAGACTTACAGAAAAATCTACTGTACGATCGTCCTTTGGAGGAAGAAGCGCCCTCACCTCTGGTAGACCTCAGAGCTAAGCAATTTGGAGTTCCCCGCGTGAAACACGTATTTCTGGCGACCAAGTTAAAACCCTATCTGCCGGATTCATTTCTTTTTCGATATTTTCCTGCGTCTAGTGGAATAATTCTGTACTAACTGTCATGGTAAACGCTTAGTATTCATAGTTTTGCCTCTCTTTGTCCGACCTACTTATGGCTTATATTTCATCACAACAATTGGCGGGACATTACACTCCAGATTTCAATTCCACGGCAGCCACATGCATGGTTATGGAACTGTATACAGTTGTCCCTCGCTGTACGGTGCCTCGACTTTCGCGGCTTCGCTCTGTCGCGGGTTTCTCAAGCAGAC